AAAAAAAAAAAAAAAAAAAAAAAAAAAAGGTGAGCCCTTTGCAGAGAAACTGAGAGTAAAGACAATACCAATATTCAATATTCAATTTACTATGAATCCATCTCATACTAAGTATCAGGGAGGATAAAAAGAGCTTGCAAGACATTCAGCCAACATTTGTTAAGCACTAATTACATTCCAAGGATACCTAGTGGCAAAGTAATATTGCTTGACTCAGTCTATTAGTTAATCATTGAGATGGCATCAGGAGAGAAACAATGTGTCATGGGAAAAATTATAGTAAAGATAAAATATAGAAACATGTTTAATGATAATCCAAGGAAAGAAGTAAAGGGAAAAATCTAGAAGATCCATGAGGAGGAGGGGTGGGATTCGAGATTAGTTTTGGGCAGTGTGAGATCTGCTTATCCAACTGTTGGTTGGCCAGAGTCCCCTCGCTCCTGGATTACATTAGCTATACTCTGCTTCTTGCCCCTCCTTCACCCAATACAGTCTCGGGACTGCAGCCATCATAATCCCTTTAAGATGAAATCTGATTACATTGTTCCACCTCTTAAAAAGTCTCCCCTCTCCATTGCCCACTGATCTAATCAGTAAGTCCTCCGCCTCTCTCTCCAGATTCTTCCTTTGTCCTCTCTGTCCTGACTCTATGCCATAGTCATAAAGAGCCTCTTTGACAATTCCAACTAGCCATCCCTCTGCTCCCTCGCTTTCCTGATCCTTGGAAGTGCTGTCCCCCAGTCTAGAACACTCCACTCTCCCCTACCCCACATCCCTGGCTACTAACTGCAAAAACTAGAGTGATCTGGTCTAGAGGATGCATATTTCCTTCTTGGGACCCAGAGGGACAGGGACATCTATTGTAGTGTCAGCTCTGTTCTGCCCTAGACAGGGGAAGGCCTGGCTTAGACTGAGAGCTTAGGGAAGGTCCTTGGGTCTGGATCTGAGACAGAAAGAGAGTACCAGCCAGCCTATGGGGAGAGACTTCTCCTGGTTCTGCCTGGGGATGCAGATTCTACTGGCTGAGCCTGGCATTAAGTGGTTTTTGCTAACCTGGGCAATTTCCAACTATTGGCAGAGCCTGTCTTAACATAACTCATTCTGAAGGCAAGTAGACATGACTTTTGCTTTACTTTTCATTATTTGGCTGGGGGGAAAAAAGAACAAATATTCTTGTCCTGCTAAGTACTATTCCCTTTATTGATGTTAATAATTCAGAGCTGGTTCCAAAGCTCCTTGGGGGCTTTTATCCATGACCTGAGCATCATTTACTACCACCTGCCTGGCATATACCATAATTCACCATTGGCAGAGTAATTATTAGCTGTGAATAAGAAAAGTAACAATTGTCCATAAATTCACCACTCCCGCAAGATAAACAAATAACACTATAGCATGTCTCCACACATACTCTTAGTTTCTATTGTGTGATCTTGGGCCTTCTTTTTTCCATTGCGTTCTCTTTTGGTAATCTCATTCATTCTGATGAGTTTTATCATTTCCAAAATGACTATTTCGCCCTGATCTCTGCTCTGAGCATCAGATTTCCCTAGCCCCCATCCCAAACTGGCTCATCTGAAACCATTTTGGTAAATGGCCATCACCTACTAACGCCAGATACTTAGAGTCATTCATAATGACTTCCTGTCTCCTCAATTCCACCCCGTTTCTTTCCCATCTGATTCATTAGCAAATCCTGTCCATGCTACCTGCCATATATACTCAGCAATTGTTCCTTCCTCACCATGTCCATGACCACAACCCTAATTCAGGTCTGTTCACACAACCCTTTTGGTATCCCTGCTTCCACACTTAACTCCTGTAATTTTTTTAATGGGGTCGAAAGTTCTGCCTACCTTGGTTCTCTCATTTTATGCCCCTTAAATTCCTATTACGCTGGATCTCTTTCTGTCCCTTGATATGTGCAAGCTCTTAAGCTCACTTTGTGGTTAGTGCTCTCTTCTTTTCCTGAAAAGTTTTCTCCCAGTTTTCCCATGGCTGATGATTTTTTTTCTCCCTTCATATCTAATCTCCAAAGTCATCTCTTCAGATAGACCTTCCCTGCCGTCTAAATCAAATTTCATCTCCCAAATATTGTCCATCTTCTTCTCTGGCACTAATCGTAACATACGATTCTTTCATTTAATTGTATTTAATTTTTTTTTAGTTTTTAAATAAATTAGAAAAATTAATTTTTGTCATCCCCCCATGAGTAGGATTGACAGATAACATACAGAATGCCCAGTTAAATTTGAATTTCAGATAAACAACAAATACGGTTTTTGTATATGACACCGGTACATACGCACACTGAAAAAATTATCTGAACTTCAAACTTAACTAGGAATCTTGTATTTTTATTTACTAAATCTGGCAGCCTTAACCATGAAGCGCCTTGCCCTTGTCTCGCTTGTTCTGGGTTGCATCCTTGCAGCCAAACCCAGAGCCTGCCATTTAGGTGTTCAGTAATTGTTCTATGTGAAGGAACTGTCTGTCGTTTTGTATGATTTTTTTCTCACGTAACATCTATTTATCAGAATTGTACCCATTCACTAAAAATTCTTGTTAAAAGTATTTTGGGAAAATGTTTTATTATCTAAACTTCTTTGTTTTTCACTTCTGCAAAATTGGCATAATAGGAGTAGCTGCCCTCATCACGGTGTTTTGAGAATTAAATGCGTTAATGGGTGCAAAGTTTAGCACCGTGCACGGCTCACTAGAACACGCAATAAACTTCAGTTCTTTATTAAATACAGCCCGTGAGCCATCTTAGCGGAAACCAAAAACGCGGGTTTGAGAAGCGCGGATGGGGGATGGGAAAACGGTTAGAAATGGGCGAGGGCCAGAAAACAGAAGGCCTGGGGAAAGGGGAGGAGCGGAGGGCGAATGACAGAGTTGACAGCCAATGGAGAGACTGGGAACTGCTTCCCCCTCCCTTTGCGTTTCAAATTCTAAGCTCCGTTTCCATCCGGGTCCTTCAGCCTCGTTCCCGGGCAGTATAAAGTTTGCTGTCTCCTTTGTTCGCCCTCGTTGCGCAGTAGTGCTAGCGGGTTCTGTCTTCCGTCTTCCGAGCCGGCCGCCCTCCCGCGTGCTGAAAGGCTAGGAAGCCTTTGTCTGCGAGCTCGTAGGAGCTTGAAACCGTTGTCACCCCTCCGGTACGTGCATCCTTTCCTTAGCCCTTGTTTCGGGCGCTCTCGCCACGTTAGAATTTGGGATTATCTCCCTGGAGATGGGGGGAGGCGGGCGCCATTTTAAGAGCCCAAGGTGCCGACCTAGTTAGATAAAGCGGAGAGTGTCGGAGGGAAACAAATGTAGCGAGTCTGTTTCATTCTGTTCTTCTTGAAAGTTTGTCGCCGGCGGGGCGGGTAGTGGCGGAGGTCGGGGCTGGAGCGGGACGTAAGAGCTCGCACCACCGCGGTACCTGCATTGGGAGTGGGATGGCGCTGGCGCTGTGGATGGGCACGTGCACTTTTACGCGGGGTCCTTGTTCATTGGCGGCCTTGGAGGGGAAGCCCTTTGAATTTTCCAAGCCACAGCTGGTGGTAAAAGTTACTCCCCTGACTGGTGTCGGTTGTTCTGGGCTGAGTCCAAGTGTCGCCATTTTGTGTTTTCCACGAGGTTTTTAATGAAGGGTTTTAATTGGGTTCTGCTGCAGTCATGGAGTGTCGAGAGTTACAGTGCATGTTTCCACGTTCCGTTATTTAATATGAGGTGGTATTGACACTTTAAAAATGTGAGGCCTTTTCGACAGGGCTGGTGAATAAGGGAAGGCATAACTTGGCTCAAACTTTAAATGTATACTAAGATTTAGTAGAGAATTCTAATGAAGAAAGGCAAAGTTCTTAGAAGAGAGAGGGCTTGATGTTAAGGACCCGCGTCTGGCCCATGACCTTGAATGAGTCGATAGTTTTTAAAAACCATTAGGGTAATTGGGATGTAATTGTGTCTTAAAAAGCTACAAATCTAGGATTAAAACTTTTTCGAATGGTGAGTAGCTCATACTTGATTAAAACTGCCAAGGAGAAGAGGAAGGATAGATAAGTTGGCTTGGCCCTTTTAACCAGTTTAATGTAAACCGCGCTATGGTTTAACTACTTAATTTGGGTTTCCTTCTGAGGTTTTAGGTCGCTTTTGGAGTCTTTAGTTATTAAAGAATAATTTTTAGTAAAACAAAAAAAAAATGTACCACAGTAAATACATGTTTTGATGAACTTGAGAAGGAACTTTTTCCAGGATGGTATACTTATCTTTTCAGCAGACTCTCAACCAAGGAAAAAATGGTTGAAGCAGATCGCCCAGGAAAGCTCTTCATTGGTGGCCTCAATACAGAAACAAATGAGAAAGCCCTTGAAGCAGTATTTGGCAAATATGGACGAATAGTGGAAGGTGAGTTTATCTGAAAGTATATGCAGGGCTGTTGTAATTAAAATGTAAGCTATGATGAATTTGATTGCGTTGATCATCTGAAATGATGTAGTTTGTCCTCTAAGAAGTTCTGAGCTTTCTTTTTCAAGATTCACTTTTGTTATTTCATTCGAACTAGAGTAACACTTTCCCCTCCTGAAAACTTTTTTAGTGCTCTTGATGAAAGATCGCGAAACCAACAAATCGAGAGGATTTGCTTTTGTCACCTTTGAAAGCCCAGCAGATGCTAAGGATGCAGCCAGAGACATGAATGGAAAGGTGAGATTGTTTGCACGATGGCAGTGTTTACTAGTACATGTATAGCACAACGTTATCCAAGTCGTCTAGGGAAGCTCTTGAATTTTATTTTATTTTGAGAGTATAGCTTTCCAAGGCCCTGTTATATCTAGGCCTTGGTTAATTTTTATAACCCTGTGTTATAGCAAAGTTACAGATTATATTCTTAAAAAGAGTCAGTTCAAATATGTGGTGTTATATTTTATCTGGGATCCATAAACTGATTTAATAACTTGGCTTTTTTTACTTGTCAGTTTTAATAAGTCGATAACTGACCTTGTTTTTAAAGAGGTGCAGTGGATCCACCTTATGTTTGGTTCAGATCATTATTTAAAGACTGAATAATCATTTTAAGTAAATGGAAAAATAATATAGTGTTTTTTCTTAGCTTAATTGGGTCAAATTTACCTATAGCGGTTTTGAAGGATATTGGTGTCAGTGAATAGTGGATCTGAAAGTTCTTTTTAAATGTTGTTGTAATTAACCATTTTGATATTTAGTCCTTAGATGGAAAAGCCATCAAAGTAGAACAAGCCACTAAACCATCATTTGAAAGTGGTAGACGTGGACCACCTCCACCTCCAAGAAGCAGAGGTCCTCCAAGAGGCCTTAGAGGTGGAAGAGGAGGAAGTGGAGGAGCCAGGGGACCTCCCTCACGTGGAGGGCACATGGGTAATGACTTCAGTCTACCTCAGACTTGGTGTATATATCGTTAGAAACTGCAAACCCACACCAGCATATGCTTTGGTTAAGTCTTTAAGATTCCAGTTTTTAAAATTGAACAGTGGCTCATCTACCAAAGTGATAATGACTTAAAAAGAAAACATAGAAGGCATTCTAAGTTAAATTACATGTAGTGTTTTTAAATGATAGACAATATACTCTTCCTTATCTAGGTAGTTCAGTCTGTAGGAAAAAAATACTTGAAAATTTTGCATAGATGTTCGAGCATATGAAAATGAAACTATTTGTTTTTCTTAGACATAATTGGAGACTAGTTTTAGTTTTAGTTTACTAGTCAATATAGACTTACATATGCTCAGTTTTGTACAGGTGAAAACTAAAAATTCCCCAACTAAGTAGAAATGGTCATATTCTTGATTAAAGAACTTTTATAGTCTTTTCTTGATTCTTGTATTAACATGTTTTTATTTTCTATTCTAATGTAGATGATGGTGGCTATTCCATGAATTTTAACATGAGTTCTTCTAGGGGACCACTTCCAGTAAAAAGAGGACCACCACCACGAAGTGGGGGTCCTCCCCCTAAAAGATCTGCTCCTTCAGGACCAGTACGCAGCAGTAGTGGAATGGGAGGAAGAGGTAAAATGAATGTTCCATTTTTAACAATCCACCATAACAAAAGGTTGAGAGGTGAATCCTAAAAAATTGCTTAAAACTGACTTGTGGACTGCAGGTGATCTAAGTACATGCATTTAATGAGCACTGAAAAGAATTTAGGTTTAAATAGGAAATTTTAGAGTATGAAATTTCATTGAATCTCTTCATTACCTGACTGTAAGTTCACATATTAAGCTTTCTCTTTGGGTATATTTTTAAAATGATTGTTTTTTTTAAGCTCCTGTATCACGTGGGAGAGATAGTTATGGAGGCCCACCTCGAAGGGAACCTTTGCCTTCTCGTAGAGATGTTTATTTGTCCCCAAGAGATGATGGATATTCTACTAAAGACAGGTAATGAAAATGTAATAGCTTTTGCCTCGATAATTTGGGTTGAAGCGGGGGCTCATCAAAAGCATATAAACCCAGTTACTTTTGCTTTTGTAGCTATTCAAGCAGAGATTACCCAAGCTCTCGTGATACAAGAGATTATGCACCACCACCAAGAGATTACACTTACCGTGATTATGGTCATTCCAGTTCACGTGATGACTATCCATCAAGAGGCTATAGGTATATATGTGACTTTGCTGCCACAGCTTGCTGTAAAAAAGTTGATGCCCTGTAGCTTATAAATTTTCTCTTTAATTTAGTGATAGAGATGGCTATGGTCGTGATCGTGACTATTCAGATCATCCAAGTGGAGGTTCCTACAGGGATTCATATGACAGCTATGGTAAGATATTGGTTGAGTGTCTTTGAATATTACCAGCTTGAGCCTTTAGGTTCATGAGCCAGTTTATTAGGCTGTGTGGTGCTTGCTTTTAAAGGGATGTTTGCTTGCTTTTAAGGGGGTAACTATCAGCTGGGCTTTTCCTAGTTTTGTGAGGGGCTTTTGTTCTAAGTTTTTTTTTTTTT